GCGTGGCATGAACATGACGGCTGATCGCCCGCCACTCGGCACTCGGCGTTGGCTCCGCACGGCGACGGTTGGCATGGCAGAGTAGGAGCGGATGTCGGTTCTGGTGCTGCAAAAAAACATAGCTGGTTAGCTAATTGTTGAAACTAAAATTTATCGTTAGATTCGGCACAGATACATACGTTTCAGATGACATCTGATGAACGGGTCTCCAGTATAACCGGATGGGCACGAGCAGATAGGATTGTGATTCACCACGTTGCACCTCGCGCCGACACCGCATGTGCCGGGGCAAGGGTCCCTGCACTTCTGGTTGCTGCAGGCCTGGTTGAGCGGGCACTCGGCGTTCACCACACACTCGGGCCTGCAGGTGGGCGGGCTGCCGATGTAGCCGGGAACGCACGAGCACACGGCCTGGCCGTTGACTTCGCGGCACTGGCTGTTCGGCCCACAGGGCGACGGGCTGCAGGGGTTCGTGTACACGGGCTCCTGCTGCACCGGCCTGCAGGATACAAACGGACTTCCTTCGGTTCCCGGTGGGCAGGTGCAGGTGGGGATGTGGTTGATGACCTCGCACAGCGCTCCCTGGCCGCATGTGCCTGGGCACGGATCCTTGCACTTGTATCTCATACAAGCCTTGTTCCTCGGACACTCTGAGCTCATGATGCACTCCGGGCGACAGCCGCGGTACGGGTCACCCTGGTACTCTGGAAGGCAGGTGCATATGCCGTCGCGGCATTGAGCGTTGGGTCCGCAGGGTGAAGGGTTGCAAGGGTCGGTTTCGATCGGCTCGGCCTGAGGCGGTGGCTTGGGGTGGCAGCTGACGAATGGGTCGCCAGTGTAGCCCTCCACGCACGTGCAGACCGGTACGTGTGTGATCACGGTGCACTGCGCGTTTGCGCCACATGAGCCTGGGCACGGGTCTCTGCACTTGAGCTGCATGCACGCCAGGTTGCTGGCGCACTCGGAGTTTATTGTGCACTCCGGCCTGCAGTTGGGCGGCGATCCGAAGTAGCCGGGCCTGCACGAGCAGGAGGGTGAGTCGCCCACGCGTCGGCACTCTGCGTTCGACCCGCAGGGGGACGGCACGCACGGGTCCACGTGTACGGGCTCCGCAAACACTGGCGGTGGTGCTGCAGAAGAGGGAGAGAAAACGTCATGGTTCAGTCGGACTGCTAGAGTCGTGAAGGCGACGCGCAGCTCCGCTAGGAAACAAGTACTTACGTGGTATAGGAGAGCATCGTGAGAATGGGTCTCCGGTGTATCCGGCCGGGCATGAACATATCGGACTGTGATTCCGGACATAGCATCTGGCGTTCTGTGCGCATGGCCCCGGGCAGGGGTTGACGCACTTCATGCCAATGCAGGCCATGGTCTGTGTGCATTCGGCGCTCACAGTGCACTCCGGTCGGCAAGCCGGTGGGCTGCCTACGAACGTCGGGAGGCAAGAGCACACGGCCTGTCCGTTAACCTCCCTGCACTGACTGTTGGGCCCGCACGGCGAGGGCCGGCAAGGGTTGACGGGCTCCTCTAGCACCGCCACGGCTGTAGGGAGGCGAGTAGGGGAAAGAAGAGAAAGAGAGTCAGGCATGCAGCTCATGCGCAACAGAGATGAATGATCCTCATGCTGTGATCGCCACAAAGAGGGAGAAACACAGAAACGGAAAAACGAAAAAACGAAAAGGGGAGTGGAAAACACAAGAGGGAAAAATAAAATCAAGAATAAAAATAGAAGAGCGACAGCTTACATTGAACAGGCTCGGGACGGCAGAAAGAGAAGGGGTCGCCGGTGTAACCCGGTCGACACGTACAGGTCGGAAGGTGGTTGACAACATGACAGTCGGCGTTCTGGCCGCATGTGCCCGGGCAAGGGTCCTGACACTTGTTGCGGACACAGGCCAGGCTCGGCGCACAGTCCGAGTTGACGATGCACTCGGGCCGACAGCCCTCGTAAGGGTTGCCGATGTACTCAGGCAGGCACACGCACGAGCCCGCGCCCCCGCGCTCCCTGCACAGGGCGTTAGCGCCGCAGGGCGAAGGCTCGCACGGGCTCAGTGCCTCCTGGAGCACGGGCGCAGCTGGAAGACGAGAGGGAAGGTCACACACATAGGAAGGCACACCACATGAAACACACACAGCCCAAAGAGGAAAATACAGTAATTCACAGCTAGAGTGTAGAGATGTTAGTCATGTTTCTTGTATGTTTATTTTTTGTTTCGTATTGAAAACAAAAAAAAAGTTAAAAATATGTTAGTTAAAAAGAGCAGCTTTAAGCTCGGAAGCAAGCATTATTAGTTTGTAAGTAGCTGTACACAGAGGAGTCAGTAGAGAGTAAAAAGCCTACACGGTTTAGACGAGAGTGCATAAACTAAAAGATTTCCCTGAGTTGAACATCGATTAGAGTAAAGATGTAGAACAAGAAAGTAATTAAATATCAGATTAAAAAAGATTGGGAAAGAAACCAGTTTTCTCCGAAAAATTTGAGGGGGAAAA